GCAAAACCAGCACCCATCTGCCACAAATCACAAATCTTTTTTTTTAACAGTGGTAAAATATACTTTTTTTACTTTCTTTAATCGGAAGAGCATAAAAAATTATTAGTAAAATAGATATCAGGCAAACAAAAAGGTGTTTATAAGTCCAGTTACCTTGGAGCTTATTTAAACTAAGAGAAATAGGTCATAATGTTTTCATGCAATGCATACTTTCTTCTTTAAATAACAGTCATGACAAATCGCAGAAGGAGTTAAGGAATGCTGTACTTTGATCCATACAAAACACCAACATTTGGGGTTGTACATAATAGAGAAATATGTCAAAAATGTCAAACACTTTGCAAACACTTTGCAAAACATACAGAGAGGCATGTCTTAGGTGAGCATAGGAATGCAGTTTAGAAAAGGGAAAGCAACAACAACAACAACAACAACAACACAGCTACTCAATTTCTCTAAAATCACTGAGCAAGAAGAGCAACATTGGATTTCATATACTGATTTTGCACACCTTCTATCCAGTACCTTGACTTAAATCCCAGGGCAACAGTTCAGACTCTCCTCCCCCATTTTTGGTAAGCACTGCGTGGTAAACTTGGATGACTTCCCGCCTGGACTTTACCTGGGAGTTGCCTTTTAGATGTTTTTCATTTAAAAGAGGGCAGGTTTGGCACCTTGATACTGATGTCACCAAGGTTACTATTTCTTGGGACCTCAGAAAGATTCATAAGCTTTATCGCGGACGCATCTCGGGCTGGAGCTCCTGCTGAGCCAGCCTTCTATTCTGCGGTTCGTCGTGTGCATCAGTGTGTGTAACAGTCTCATTGGCGGTGGTCCCCAGCACCATCCTCCTTCACCATTCTGCACGAATAATGTGAACCTTATCTACCTGGAACACTAAATCCAGTCCACAGACGTTTCCAAAACACTTGTCTCCTGGTTCTTGAAGACTTGAATTACATCTAAAATGCCAAGTTCACTTTCTGAAGGATCCACACGGAAGACAAAATAGAAAGTTGTGCCATGTCTCTGTATCAGTTTGCTGTCAGACCCGGCTGTTCACAACCCTCCTTCTGGGAAATTACAAATATTTTCATTCTTAGATTCCCCATGGAAGGTCTCCCTGATGGTTTGTTGCTGTGTATCTTCACTGTCGGGCTGGTAGAACTTGGAGAGCCGTGGCTTCCCCTGGTTGTTGAAGACGAGGATCGTCTTGATCATGGCTGGGCTGGGCCCACTGGGTGGGCACTAGGGGGGCCAGGGTAGGGCTGGCACACCAGCTGAGCCTCGAGATCTTGCGGGCATCCCTTCCCCAGTTGCCCCCTCCCAGATGCATGTGCTCTCCCCAATTACAAATCTTTTTTGTCGCACACTGTTATGCAATTATTTCAGAACTTCTAAACAGAAAGCTTGATTAACTGTCTGACCTGATAGAACAAACTCCAAATGCACTATGAGCCAACATTTAGATCCGTTTGAGAAGTTGACTGATGTCCAGAATGAGGTTCGTCATCAATGGACATTTCACCTTTTGTGAAACAAGAAAACCTCTCACACACTTGAGTTTTTCTCATAGCGCTGTCCTTATAAGCTGTATTCAACATCACAACAGTTTCTGTGGCATTTTTCCTGAGCAGGAAACAAAATATCATACCTGCATGCCGTTCTCTTAAATCAACCATCACAAAATACAAGGTTTGAGCAAAACTGTGTTTAGGAAAAAATTCACTGTGACCAGAGAGAACCTTCCCAGGGGACACCACTGGGAGCACTAACTCAGAGCGAGTTGCTCTGTGCTTGCCTGGTGGGAAAAATGTGTCCTCCGGAAGGAAGCTCTGCCCAGCGGAGGTTTTTCTGGGGTGAAATATTACTCACCCACAAAGAGCAAAGGCGTCCTGACATGTTCTAACATGGAACAACCTTGGAAATATTATGTTGAGTGAAATCAGCCAGTCACAAAAGGCGAGTACTCCGTGATCCCGCTTGAATGAAATAGGACAATGCACACACACAGACCGGGGCTTATTAGTGGTCATGGAGCGTGGAAGGAAAGGGAGAAGAGGGAGCCATTGCCTACGAATGACTCTGCTTCTGTTAACAGTCGTGGGGTACTTCAGAAGGCTAGTGTTAGTGGTCTTTCATGTCTCACCACATGGTGTCACGGAATCATCCGTGTTAAAATTGTTGGCCTGGTCAATGTTTTGTCAATATAGATACACACACACACACACACACACACACACACGCATATAATAATAGTATCCCACTGGGCTGCGATCCGCATGACCGGAAGTTTCAAACCACCAGCAACTCCTCGGTAGGAAAACTGGATTTTCTACTCTCATCAGCAATTACAGCCTTGGCAACCCACAGGGAGTGTCACTAGGAGTCAGCATTGGCTTGATGGCAGCGTTTTTTTGATAGTATATATTACATATATTATGTAGTATATGTGCGGTAGAGTGTATATTACGTAGTATGTAGATTTTAGTATAATCACAGTTCTAATCATATAAAGGGTCCCTCCCTTCCATAACTTAATTGCTTTCTCCTTTTTTTAAAAGGAGGGAAATGGACAGGAATTAAGTTATATTTAAATTCCTTCTTCCAAAGCTGATGGTGCCCAGCTATCAAAAGATATAGTCTGCGGTCCTATAGGCTTGAAGATAAACAAGCGGCCATCTAACTGAGAAACAACAAAGCCCACATGGAAGAAGCACACCAGCCTGTGAGATCACGAGGCATCGAAGGGATCAGGTGTCAGGCATCAAAGACCAAAAAAATCATATCGTTGTGAATGAGGGGGAGTGCAGAGTGGGGACCCAGGGCCCATGTGTGGGCAACTGGACATCCCCTTGCAGATTGCAGGGGGTTGCAAGGAGGAGACGAGCCAGTCAGGGTGCAGTGTAGCAACGATGAAACATACAACTTTCCTCTAGTTCTTTAATGCTTCCTCCCCCCAACTATCAATGATCCCAATTTTAACTTACAAATCCGGCTGGATTGGAGGATGTACACTGGTACAGAAAGGAACTGGAAACACAGGGAATCCAGGACAGATGAACCCCTCAGGGCCAGTGGTGAGAGTGGCGATACTGGGAGGGTGGAGGGCAGGTGAGGGAGGAAGGGGGAACAGATTACAAGGATCTACATCTAACCTCCTTCCTGAAGGATGGACAGTGGAGAAGTGGGTGAAGGGAGACGTTGGACGGTTTAAGATATGGCAAAATAATAATAATTTATAAATTATCAAGGGCTCAAGGGGGAGGGGGAGCGGGAGGGAGGGAAAAATTGAGGAGCTGATACCAAGGGCTCAAGTAGAAAGCAAATGTTTTGAGAATGATGAGGGAAACAAATGTACAAAAGTGCTTCACACAATGGATGGATGTGTGGGTTGTGATGAGTTGTACAAGCTCCCAATAAAATGATTGAATTATTAAAATAAATAAATAAATTCCTTCTTCCATTAATAATGCTCACCAATTAGGAGAGGAAATTCAGAAGGGGTGCAGTGAAGTGATATTACTCGGTCTGGCTCTTGTGCCCATAGTCTGTAACTCCCACGGAAACTAATGACTCAGTAGGAGCAAGCAAATAGCGAGTGTGGAACTACTCCGAGAGGACTGGTCCATTTTGTCATTCCACTGGATAGCAAGTGAGCCATTTTAGCATCAGGAAGAGAGAAGTCCAGGGCTAGCCAAAGAGGAATGAGCAGAGTGCATCCAAAATCCTTGTGCATAGAAGCCGTAGCAGCAGAGAGCAGACAGCGTGACAGGCTTCCTGGCTCACTGAATGAGTAAAGGTGAGCCCCCTCAGCAGTCGGCTGGCTTACAGAGAGGGGTACTGTGTGGAAATGTATCAGTACTAAAGGAGCTTTACATCATTGCAGTGTCCAAGGGTTGAAGGTTCAGAGAAAGACGTGTCTGTGGGCGTCCTAAGAAGAGGCACTGTAGGCAAAAGAACTGTACCTTTAAGATTTCTGATGCTGACTTGTAACCTGTTAACTTCCCAAATAAGCTCATCATTGAAGAAGACTGTCAAGAAGGGGCAGTTGGTGTGAGAATAGGGTACAAAAGGAAGGTAGGTGGAGGCATGTCTGACTTCTATCTCCTAGAACTAGGCCTTGGGCTGGTGAGGAGTTGGATTCCCCGCCCTCCTTGTATAGCTCAGGGAGGGGAGGTATGACCCCCTCTTTGACATGTCCTCAAGCCCCTCAGCTCACTGTCACTGAGTTTTCTAACCCAGAGCAACCCTATCTGGACAGGGTAGACCTGCCCCCGTGGGGTTCTCAGATTGTAACTCTCTACAGGAGTAGAAAGCCTCATCTTTGACCTGTGGAGCAGCTGGCAGTCAGGTGAATCATGAGTCAGCAAGTGGGAACAGAAAGCAGAGTCAATTTATTGAAATGGTCATATTCCCAAGCAATTTGAGATAGTACATCAAGTACTGAATTACATCAACTTTGGGGGGGATATAACATCAAGGACTGGTTTCAAGACTAAGCATTTGGTACTCATAAATTAACAGATTAACAGACGAATACTTCATTTTTAGAGAAGGTATTTTTTTCCAGCTCCATTTCCCCAATACGCTCAAACTATCCATATAAAATAACACTTTAACACACTAACATTAGGATCCATCACTACCATGAACACATGAGGAATTTCCCATTTATTTGTGACTTTAAAGGGCTTCAAGCCAGTGGATAAAAATTTTTCTCCCACATACAGGGAATTTGTTCCTGTTGTCTTTAGAGCCACCACAATCAAAATACAACTTTAAAAAGACAAAAAACAAACCAAAAAAAATCCTACCAGAAAACAGCACTGTAAAAGAGAACTTTCAGGTCTCAGAAGGCTGTGCAAAAGTAATAACAATTGGTGATTTTTTTTTTTCCCCCTAAAAAGCTCAACAACACTGAAAACTCGATCCCCATTCTTCTGTCTGTCTGTCTCAGTGCTTCTCACAGTCTGGTGTGCATTAGAAGTCCCTGGAGAACAAACACAGACACAGAGGGCCTGGCTCATTTCAGCCATAAAGGCCGGGGCCTCTGCATCTTTATTAAGTTCCCCGGAACGGTATCCAACGCAGGCTCGCCAAAGTCCCTTTGGAAGCCCGAAAAAACAGAACAAACAAGACGAAATATCCTGGGTTTGAGGTTGAGATCCAGGAATCTTAAAATCTTTTTATAAAAAAACTGTTCTTTGATTCATTTCTTTTGGAAGCATCCCCGGTGATGCTGATGAGCCAGCGCGGGCAGTACCGTTTCAGGACACTGCTCAAAGCATCTCTGGTCTCCGAGTTCCCGAAGGATATTCAGAACTTTGAGGTTGTTATAAAATGGGACCTTTCACAGACTAAATAGTGTGGAAGTGATTTGATACTAAAAACCCTGTCCGATTGAGCACTTGAATTACCTAATGATTTTCTATCTATCCACCCCCAGAGTTTTGATGGCTGTTAAGTGCTAGTCAACCAACGTGTTTGTCAGCAAGGATTCAGCTCAGTTCCATTCGCTCTCCCCGCTCCGGATGCGCCCTGCTGCCAGGAACACATGTATCTATCTATCTCCGCGCACCGCTGCCAAGGGATGTCCCATGCACTTCCCTGTGCACGTCAGCCCAGAACCCCTGGAAACCCTGCTCCATGTCCCCAGCTGGGACTGGATCCTTTGTGGAAACAGATGTTCCCACCACACATGAGTGGTTTACAAGCTGGACTCGTCTTGAAGCTAAGACAAGAGGAAGCTAATTATGACGTTAGATGCTTCAGACAATACAAAGACTTCTGGACCATGGCCAGGACTCCGAAACCCACAGAGGCCCAACGCCTTCCCTCTGCATCCTGGAATCCGATGTTTACATTCAAAATCTAAGATTAAAAAAAAAATCCTGAAATCAATGACCTAGAATTTGGGACACGACACTTGATCTTTCCCAGAAGTCATGGTGTAAACATCCACCACATGGAAAAAAGCAGGTCAAAAGCAGCCGAGAATTATGATCTGTGCACTAGACGCTGGTTTCTAACTCTTCCCATAAAATGCGACTTGGAGACGAGATGTTCCTCCTGGATCGGAAGGCACTCAAGTAGCCAGGTGAGCCAGCTGCAGGGCCGAGGTCATTCCTGGGAGACGCAGAGGTCCACGTGGGTCCTAGGCATCGTTTTAAAGAGAATGCCAGATCTCCTTACTGGACAGCTGGCTACAAGCCGACTGGCGGTTTCCAGGCACCTTTGAGTGTACCCAATAAAACTGCTGGGTGGGCATCCAAGGGAAGGGTTGGAAGACTTCCTCAAACTGGGATGGAAATTAGCCAAACGCTTCTAGCAGCACGTCCAGCTGGAGGAGGGCTCGGTTTGTAGATTGATGTAGTCCCCTTGGGCGGACAAGGACAGGGCATCTTCTCTGGAATGGCTCATCATTTTTTCAACGAGGACTCTACAAAACAAACAGAAAATAAGCCGAGGACCGTTAGAGAGGGAAGTACCAGGCATTGCTTGTTTGAGCAACTGACAGAATCCAGAAAAAAACCACAAAGTTCAAAAGGCCCCCAGACCCCACTCATCTCTGGAGAGAAGACCCACCCACGCCTGACCTTCAGAAACGAGCATTCGATGCCCCCTCTGTTCGTGTTCACGTGGAAACACGAAAAGAACACCCATGAGGAAGCAGTGGGTTGGTGCGGGGTGAAGGGAATCGACAAGCCTATTCCCCCACACAGCAGGGGCTTACTCACCTCATGGCCTCGTTAATATTCTTGTTCTCCTTGACCGAGGTTTCTGTCCAACCCATGAAACCATTTTCTTTACTGAACCGGTCAATCTGGTCCCGGCTCACTGCCCAAGGGGACAGATCACACTGGCAAAGAGAATACGAGACATCATGTACGTCTTGGGGATAGGAACACTGCTCAAATAGTTGAGAATCTAAAGCATTCTGCCACCAAGCACGCTCACTCAAAAACCTCACCGCCATCCAGTCAGTGCCGACTCCCAGTGACCCTATAGGGCAGGCAGAACTGCCCCAGGAGTTGCCGAGACTATAACTGTTTATGGGAGTAGAAAGCCCTGCCTTTCTCACGCAGGGCGACTGGTGGTTTAGAACTGCTGACCTTTCGGATCGCAGCCTAACGCATAACCACGATGCCGCCAGGGCTTCTGGTACTGCTCAAATACTTGTGAATTTAAAACATTCTGCTACCCAGGGTTAAGAACACTGGCATCTAAAAGCTAGAGATTGTGGCTCGTAGTCACGGAATCCTGCAGTGGTGATGGGGGGGCTACCGAGCAAAGGTCTGCTAAGTGGGACGGTCTCAGAAACCCACAGGCAGTTCTTCTCTCTCTGGCAGGGTTGTTAGGAGCTGGAATGGCATCAATGGCAGGGAATTGGGTGATGGTCCTTAGTGACCCTCAGATCTTCACCCCTGTGCCCCCTGGTAAACAAACAATACACACGTCTCTGAGGAGGACGAGGACACGAGAGAGGTAGGCACATGTTTAAATAAGCGACCACCAGGGATCAACTGGGCAGCACAGACCCCAGGACAATGCTCAGAAAGGCCAGGAACGAAGGAGGGGGGTGGAAACCGGGAACACAGGCAGGAAGTGGGATAAGGGACGATACATGGAGGGCTGCAGTCGATGAGATGAACCAGAACGTGCGTGCACTGCTGAATGGAAACCTGGTGATCATCCCGTTCAAATGAAAAAGTTAAATAAAATAAAATGAAATCTACAGCCAATATTCCTCCCCAAGGGTGGGGGAGAAAGAGAGATGATTCTGCCAATTTGAGAAGGGGAAAAAGATGCCTAGAACCAGGGGCATTTTATTATTATTATTTCGGCTCTGACACAGGAGCCCTGGTGGCGTCGTGGATTATGTGCTGGGCAGCTTCACCATAAGACCAGCAGTTCAAACCCACCACCTTGCTCTGCAGGAGAAAGACGAGGTTCTCTGCGTCTGTCAAACCGCACAGCCCCGGAAAGTAGCAATGAAAATAATGTTATGGTTGGGGGGTCACCACCACATGGAGGAGCTGTATGAAAGGGTCGCGGCATGAGGAGGGTTGAGAACCACTGCTCTAGAGGCTTCCCAGAGCAGGGGACCCTAGGCCACAAGGAAGCCCCTGCTCCTGGCTCTTCTTTCTTGGGGGGTAGTTCCACCAGAGAACATTTTAGACCACATTCTCTGACCCACAGGTATTCTCCAACCATAGACGGAGGCCAAGGGCCATTTCCCTAGACCAGGGATTGGCAAGCTTTTGAGACAGAAGAGCCAGTCTTGTCTCTCATAACAATTTAAAAATTATTCAAGAGTCATAAATACCCTTTTCCAAATAAATGAAAGCACTGTTATCTGAATAATGTCCTTTAGAAGTGTCCTAAATGAAACCATGATAGCTTATGTTCACTTTCAATTTCACTTCAGAGTCACATGGACGTGCCGAAAGAACAAGTCTCAATTTGCCAACCCCTGCCCTAGACTAACCCCCTACCTTATTGGCCAAGAGCAGGCAGGGCACTGGATCTCCACTGGGCAACGTGAGCTTGCTGTCCAGGTCCTGCTTCCACCTCTGGCTGTTGCTAAACGTGGTGGCATTGGTCACGTCAAACATAATAACGCACGCAGAGGCGTCCCGGTAGTACAGCCGAGTCATAGAGGTGAAGCGCTCCTGTCCTAGGGAGAGAGGAGAGGGGACTCCAGGAGGGGGCTCAGGAACAGTCTCTGTCCTCTCTGCCCCTCTGCCCCCTCTACCTTTGCTGTGAGAGAAAAGGGCACTGTGTATTGTGGTCATGATTTGACACCCAGGTGGTTCAAGTACAAATCCCCGCTCTACCACTTCCCATTGACGTGGTTTAGGCAAGTTAAGTGCTCTCTTAGTACTTTAGATTTCCCACCTAAAAGCAGGGCACAAAACAGCAGCTTCTCCATGGGGTTACGGAGAAGACCCACGAGTCGGTGCGGCTAACACGCTTACAAGCATGGAGTGTGTGGCACTGAGTGTTAGTGATGATTATTATCATCATCTCTACTTTCCAGGGAGCTGTTCGTCATCAAGGTCAGCCGAAAACACAGAAAAAGCGCCCCGCCCCCCTGCAGAAGCCTCCACTGATGGTCTGGACAACCCCCCACCTTGCCACCCGCTTCAGCCCCACCAATGCAGCTCTACCTCCCTTCAGGGCACAGTGTCTAGTGGACATAGCCACTCAACCCTTCCCGCTGCAGAGAACAGCGTGAGATTTCGTGGCCCCACCTTCCTCCCGCGAGCTCGCTGGTGGAACTGGGCCCTCCTCCCTGGGTTCTCCCCAGCCCGCCCAGCTCACCTGCAATGTCCCAAAGCTGCAGCCGCACCACCTCTGAGTCGGACCACTGGAGCACTTTCAGAGCAAAGTCCACTGAAAACAGCATGTGTGAGACACGTTAACAAGAGACACTCTCAGAAAAATCCCGCCCGAGGATGTGAGTCCTGCGAACGGCTCCACGAACACACAGCTCCCACCCCACCACAAGCCTCTCTTTATTTGGGGTGCTTCAAATAACCATTGTGCCTTCAGTCAAGATGCACACAGCCGTCGAGGCACCTGCTCGAGTGTTTCTGGGCAGGCGCTTCACTGACAGTGGTGACTGTTTACAATACAGGTACAGGCTCATGATTTCTGTTCCTTACTCCACTTCCATTGCATTGCCTGGCCCCTTTATTCTCCTACGGGAGCGAGAGGAAGGCTGTGAAGACTGACAGCCTCAGGAAC